TACCTGCTTTTGTGCGAGTTGTGTTGTCCTTTTGCTTCACATTGCATAAATAGGTTTTACGATGACCATATACCGCATAAAAAAATTCGCCCAAAAAGGTTAAAAACTAAAAATGTTATTAATAACAGTCGAACCTGCTTTTTAGTAGTAAGCATGTTTTTTTTTTAATTCAAAATTTTTAAATAAGTTGAAAATTAATATTAATTGGACGGTTTCCAATGTTCGTTTTGTCCCTAACATAGAGTACTCGTTTTTCTCCTTTAATATCGGTACGAGATTAAATTTACCAATTGTGAAGTTTATTTTCAATAGTTTTGTTTTTTTCTTATTTTACATACATATATACATATTTTTTTATTAGTCCACATTTTCCCCCAGCCACGCAGATGTTGAGGCTATTCAAAATGTATGCTTTCACTTAGAAAAGTGAAAAAGTGAAAGTACTTAGAAAATTTCAATAGAATTTTTCTCTATTTATTTCTTTAAATATTTTTAATGATTCTTATACTGAGTTTTCAAACATACTCGTTGTATCATTAATTCTTTTAATGTACCTTACGTTATTTTGCTTATTAACGGGTACGAATTAAAGCAACCATTGTACAAGCAGAACGAAAATAAACAAACAGAATAAAGCTAATAAGAACAATATACTAAAAGATGAATGCTTTTTTATTAATTAATTATAACAATAATAAATTAAAATAAACTAAAGAGAAGCTCACATCGTACAGCTGTAAGTTTCGATAAAGTACTTCTCCCATGAATTACATTTAGGTTTCCACTGCAATCACCCTTAAAATACCCTACACCGTTTTGCTTAATACAGGTATTCACATAATCACTTTTTAAAACAAGGCATAACATGGAAAATGGTCCAAAAACTGATCCGATCCCTGGGCCAAAGCAAATCCATATACTAAATGTGATCAAAACATCTAAAAAATTACGACACATATATTTGAACATAAAAAAATAAAATGGACGTACGAACAGACAAGCTGAGACCAATACGCAAATTGACTCTAAATCAATCTACAGTCTATCCCAAGTCCATTTGAATGTTCGCACCAAACTAATATACCCTTGTTTCAAATATGTCGTAGGGTATTAAAATGGAGAAAGAAGATTTGAAATTAAGAGCGACAGATTAAGTTTGAAAGTTAGAGCGTGCTAGCACAGTGGACAGAGGAGTGGGACTTAAAATCCATGGCAAAAACAGTCCTGGTGTTATAACACATTCGTTGTCAAGCAGCTTCCATGCTACGTTTTTATTAGCGTTAACAATTTTAATAGTTTTGAGTAAATGTTTTTTTTTTGTGTTTAAGAGATCAGATAGCGGGCGTGTACTGTTATCGGTGCACGACTCCAAAAGATCTGCAAACCATTAAATCGCATAAAATAATGTTAACAGCAACTAATTTTGGATTCTATTAGTTTAATTTAAAACGGCAGTGAAAATGTCCCCGTGAGTGCGAAAGTTCTAAGATATTTGCTTACACTTAAATCTATATTTTTCAATTTTGATACTCTATTAACCTACGTATATTAATGCATCAGGCACATATATTTTTCTGTGTGCGCTTGCAACACCTTTAGAAATCGCAAAAGATATTTTTAATCGACTGGGGGTCGTCAAATGATTTCACTGTGTCGTTTCAATTGTCATCTCACTTAGTAGCTCTGTCAAGCTCATTATTTCAATTAGTTACGAATTCTAACTGAAAATGGGCGCAAAAAAAAGGATTTAATTGCAGGATTTCTTTGGTTTAAATGTTTGAAAAATTTTCTTAACTTTTATCCACGTAGATCTTGGAGCATGACAGACATGAAATCGGTTCAATATTTCACTCTAATGAAATATGTTGCATTTAACACTAAAGCTACCGACATTTCATGTATAAAAAACATATGTAAAGTAGATAGTAAACAAGTAGCAGAATATTCAATAGGTATTGTTTTTTAGGTGGAAAGTCAGTACTCGTAGCTCAACCAGTTAAATGCAATGTTAAGCATTTAGTGAGGAGCTCTAAGCCTGGACGTAGGTTATTACTAGTGACAATTCAAAGTTTTTTAACCTTAAAATTCATTGGAAGAAATTGATATTTTAAACGCTGAACGCAAACACATATCGTGACTGTGCATCCATAGTACTGTTATATCCAGTCTCATTTTCAGTGAGACTATATTACATTGCACTTGTATGAGTTTGTCTGTTGGCGTTTATATGAATATTTCGATTCGTTTTTCTTAAGGGCTGCACTTTCCCTTAGCATTTCAGACTTCATAAACCGATTTGCACCACAAAGGAACATGTCGAAAAAACGATGCAGTACGCATCTCGAGATGTCCTTGAGAATGTCGGCAGAAATCATTTTCTACAAAGGCTGAAAAGCCAGACCAAAAATGAAACAAAAGCACTAATGCCACTTTGCGAGTTAACTTTGCCACTTTGGGAATAAGGAAAATGCCAGCGACACTTCTCAGAGCTTTTGACATGAAGAGAGAAGACTAAAAATTCCCAAGCGGCATTTTTACGAATTTAGTTTAGGAATGGAATGAGTGGAATGTCGTTTTTGCTGCAATGCTTCGAGCAATTTGATTTCTTAGAGTGACTAAGAGTAGAAGCAAAAGAAGGAATTTATCAGAATAATAAATCTTCTCAGATTGACTAGTTCGTCGAGGTAGAAGAACGCGAAAATGACTCCTCCCGTATTAAATTAAAACATCTGAGAGGAAAGAGCAAAATACACTTCGCGAATGAACTGAGCAAAATGAATACTTTCCCGCTGAAGCAAGCTGACAGGTACTGCTTGTAATACAACGGCATTAGTGATATGTTTTTCATGCTATGACTAGGCCAGTGAAAGAAGAGAAAAAGCGATCGTTATTTTTTAGTTTATTCGGTAAACAGGATTAGACAGATAGCACACATAAGATCATACAGATAAGCATTTACCTAAAAGGAATTTATAGACAAAAAGCAAATTGGAAAAGAAAATCATATAAAAGCAAAACATTCTACACGATAGCATCTGTAGAAAGGTAAGAAAGCTTACAACTGACTCCTTTTGAAAAATTCAATCTGAACACAAACGAGAAAAGCGCAGCATATGGAACGCTTATCGGCCGAGTTACGAACGTGTTAAGCATAAGATCTAAAAATTGAAACATTACCCGCATTCAGTTCGTGCACTCATTTACTGATGACTTAATAATAATATGATAATAACAGCTGGACTAACATGACACTAATTCCATAAATATTCAAAAAAAAAAAAAAAATGATTTAGTCGAGCCTAATATTTACAATATTAGCCGTGGCTTGCTGATGAAAGTATTCGTTTCTTCCGCTTAGACGTTTTAAGTTGGTGTCAACCAACTACTAATAGTATTTGTAATTAATAGGACAAGAAGAAGAAATCATTTCTTATAGGAATGTAATGACAATGAAAGCCAGTTAATAATATTGAATATTTATTTTGAAAAAAAAGGCGTCTTTTGGCATCGTTACGCGTTTATTACTAAAATTATTGTAGGCGTAGACAAATGGTTATGTATTTATATTATTTGTTAGCATAGGAATTTTCATATTATTTACAAGCGAAATACACGAAAGCAATCTTGCATGTGATGCACTCAGTCCATGAAAATGCTTTGCAACCTGCAAGTTCGCATATATTTTTAGAACTGCCTCATCAGTCAGGATCTTCATTGTCTTGTCCTCCATCGTTATCATTATTGTCTACTAATTTTTTTATTAGAGCTTTGCACGTCTGGGACCTTTTCATCTTCAGAAATGTCTCTATTTTCAAGTCGGCTGCGACAAAATCTTCGACATTCTTACCTTGTAGTCGCCTAGACATCTTAAAAAACAAAGCAAAATAAGCCAAAAGAGAGAAACTCGCGCTTATTATTACTTATGTGATAAACGCGTAATGTAGACATTTGGAAACATACAGCATTTCCCAAAAATCTGCTACATATGCAATAAAATTTTTAAGTGCAACGTCAAACACTGATAGTTTACATGATAACAGATAAGAAATCATTTTTTTTTCAATTAGACAAATTACTTCTTTTTAATAAACGCGCAAATAGGAAATATCTCTCCAAGTAACATACTGAACTTGATCCTCTACTCCAACTATTTAACAACCAATGATGATTTACTGTCCAGGGTCGTCAACTTGGGTTGGAAAATACACATCCTAAGATTTTGGTTAAAATTAAGTAAAATTGGAATGTAGACAATTGGCAACAGTATGCATTTAATTTATATTCAGTATTGATTTTTTTTTTTTTGTAAAACAGCTATGCTATGCTTTCTTGCATTATTTATTATGCTCGCTTTAGGCGCCCTATCGCAGCATCATGACTTACTCGAGGTGTATTACTTTCATTTTCTTATTGTACTACGCTATAACAGTGTCATGTCCTTTCATCCGAATCATAAATGGTGAGATGCACTTATTTGTGATAAGTGCTTTCTCTCCTCGATGCTTAGTTACCAATTGTTTGGGTGTTTTTGTCTTGCAGCAGGACACAAGTATTGATAATTTATTTTAAAAAAAGAGAAAAAAAAACTGTAGAACATATCTTTTAGGAAAAACTACTTATCAATTGCAGAAAAATATTTTGTCATCGTCGTAACATTTTAATTTTAATCAAAATTTTATAGAAACATAGCGTTGAAAATAATTGCAGATCTAAGAAAATAAAAAGCTGAACGGCAAACAGGCAGCAACAAAAATTGAAAGCTAAACTCGTTAAAGAAATTCAATGTTTAAAAAAAAAGCAAGAAAAGGATTTGAAGAATTTTTGACGTGCAAAACATTTATTCTTCTAATATCTGGGTTTCTTTGTTTCCGTTCCTGATTTTGATTTGAATTTTGCTTTGAAGAAACAACGAAAATTAATACAACGCAGACAAGACCAGTGCCAATTAGTTATATATATATATATATATATATATACTCATCTCATCATCACCATCAAGAATGGCTACGAATCTGTATTCGACGAATGCACCAACTGAAAATTTATCCGTACACGATATGTTGGCTTGGGTTAATGAACGTTTGCAGGCGCAATTCGGCAAAATTGAAGAGCTTCGCACAGGAGCAGCTTATCGTCTATTTATGGATATCCTATTTCCTTCTTCGGTGCCCATGACACACGTCAAGTTTTGTACTAATTCGGACCATAAATATATTAAGAATTTTAAAATTTTACAAGTTTCATTTGAAAAAGTAAAGGCTGACAAGATAATACCAACTGATAAATTAGTCAAGGGCGATTTTCAAGATAATTTCGAAGTTCTGCAGTGGTTTAAAAAGTTCTTTGATGCCAAATACGACGGAAAGGATTATGACCCGAGTGCTGCTCGGGATAGTACGCAGGTGAGTTACGGAAAGACAAATGTAAACAAAATACTCTCTGCAGCTGCTGCCATTCAACAAAAATTCGAATCATTGAAGACAGCTTCAGCAGCACACTCAACGGTATCATCATCAATGCTTGCTTTTCAGTTCACTATAAATAGTTTATCATTTAAATGTATTAGTTGTATAACATATTCGTAAATAAATGCGTGAATGAGTCTATATATATACTTAAAAGTCTTGATATTACAATATATACCGTAGTGTGAAAAATAATTTGTTAGCTCATATTAATCATGCAACTCTGTATTCATGTAAATGCTTGTTAGAGGAAGATAGACGAAATAGCAACAACTAGGCTCTGCTAAGAACTGAAAAGTATTGAAAATGATTTTTCTTTTTAGAAAATACAGTAAACATAAGTATATAATAAAAAAAGAAAAAAAAAATATGATGAAAAGACTTATACACACTTATACGCACGCATACGTCACCAATTTAGTATTCCCCATCTTCCGGCGAAATTTTGTCGGGTGGTGCATAGAGGATTTCAAACATCTTTTGAACCAACGGATAGGATTCCCCTTTGTCGACTTCTTTGCAGAAAATTTCAATGTCAAGCAATCGGGAAAAATAAAGGTCTCCTTCTTTTTCTAAGCCTTGCAAATTCAAACGCATAAACATAATCTGAATCGATAATTCGTCGATCCGTTGATTCGTTGCAGCAACGGCGTTCTCGTTGGATTTCTTAATGATGCTAATTGCTCTCTGTGCTTTCGTGGTCGACTCTAATCCCATTGACGATGATACCGTTGAGTGTGCTGCTGAAGCTGTCTTCAATGATTCGAATTTTTGTTGAATGGCAGCAGCTGCAGAGAGTATTTTGTTTACATTTGTCTTTCCGTAACCCACCTGCGTACCGTCCCAAGCAGCACTCGCATCATAATCCGTTCCATCGTAAATGGCATCAAAGAACTTCTTAAACCACTGCAGAAATTCGAAATTATCTTGAAAATCGCCCTTGACTAATTTATCAATTGGTATTATCTTGTCAGCCTTTACTTTTTCAAATGAAACTTGTAAAATTTTAAAATTCTTAATATATTCATGCTCCGAATTAGTACAAAACTTGACGTGTGTCATGGGCACCGAAGAAGGAAATAGCATATCCGTAAATTGACAGAGCTCGTGCGCGAAGCTCTTCAATTTTGCCAAATTGCGCCTGCAAACGTTCATTAACCCAAGCCAACATATCGTGTACGGATAAATTTTCAGTTGGTGCATTCGTCGAATACAGATTCGTAGCCATTCTTGATGGTGATGATGAGATGAGTATATATATATATATATATATAACTAATTGGCACTGGTCTTGTCTGCGTTGTATTAATTTTCGTTGTTTCTTCAAAGCAAAATTCAAATCAAAATCAGGAACGGAAACAAAGAGACCCAGATATTAGAAGAATAAATGTTTTGCACGTCAAAAATTCTTCAAATCCTTTTCTTGCTTTTTTTTTAAACATTGAATTTCTTTAACGAGTTTAGCTTTCAATTTTTGTTGCTGCCTGTTTGCCCGTTCAGCTTTTTATTTTCAACGCTATGTTTCTATAAAATTTTGATTAAAATTAAAATGTTACGACGATGACAAAATATTTTTCTTCAATTGATAAGTAGTTTTTTCTAAAAGATATGTTCTACAGTTTTTTTTTCTCTTTTTTTTAAATAAATTATCAAAATTTGTTTCGATTATAATGACTTGTGTCCTGCTGCAAGACAAAAACACCCAAACAATTGGTAACTAAGCATCGAGGAGAGAAAGCACATATCACAAATAAGTGCATCTCACCATTTGTGATTCGGATGAAAGGACATGACACTGTTATAGCGTAGTACAATAAGAAAATGAAAGTAATACACCTCGAGTAAGTCATGATGCTGCGATAGGGCGCCTAAAGCGAGCATAATAAATAATGCAAGAAAGCATAGCATAGCTGTTTTACAAAAAAAAAAAAAATCAATACTGAATATAAATTAAATGCATACTGTTGCCAATTGTCTACATTCCAGTTTTACTTAATTTTAACCAAAATCTTAGGATGTGTATTTTCCAACCCAAGTTGACGACCCTGAACAGTAAATCATCATTGGCTGTTAATTTCTGGTGGCTTACAAGTGGGATCATAAATCTATCATACCCTCGTACCTTTCATCTCAAAATACCCTTTCAAAATGCGTGTACTGTTTCGTGCATATTTTCAATGTCTTACTTTGCAAACAGTCAGTGAAAAAACGACACACATATATGTATGCATAAATTTATAACTAAAAAACACATTTTGCTATCTCTGGACTGTTGACAGCTTGACATTTGACAGTCGTACTAACAACAGCAGTTACTTTCGTGAGATAAAAATGTTAGAAAAAGGAAAACACAAAAAAAAAAAACACACAAAGCAAAAAAGAGGCAAAAAAAGGAAAGGATGACAACAATATTATGCAAAATATCCTTAACATATTGTTATGGGTTTGAAATGTATTTATTTAGTGTTTTATTGTATTTAATATTCAGTTTTATTGTACCCTACGTCACTTGTGGCGCAGGGGTATGCTAAGTTCGTGCATACGCAAATACCCAGAAGGGCTTGATATAGACCGACCTTGTATTATAGCGATTGATTCAAAAGTGATCGATCCTAAACTTGTCTATGCCGGTCTATCCGCCTTGTACCCATTTCCATATAGGTCGTATTGATTGCATCCTGTTTTTATACTGTCCGTCTATTCATCTGATTTCTGCCATGTATTTGAGATATTTTGATGAAATTTCATCGACCGCTATTGAAATTGGGTCGGATGGGAACACTTTTCCAGCGATCAGCGTCATATGAAAATTATTTAATTGTGGCCCGTCGCACATTATAGTGGTTTTACTTGTTTCTATTTTATTTTAAAGCTTTTTCATATTGCGGAAATGGAGAAAATAGAAAAAAGCATGTACGCAAATACCTATCAACGTGCGTATGTGTATCTATGAATATATTATGAAAATAGTTAAATATTTGATGTACGATTTTTCACAGTTGAAAACCTTTAAAATTTAATATAAATAAGCGAGTATATATATACCCTTATATATATATATATATAAAAGTACGCCAAGCATACGTCAATAATTGAAGATGAGTTTTACAATTTCAGGTCATTTATCATCGATAGCGGAGGTGACAGTTGTTCAATGCCAGTGCATGCTGTCTAATATAAAATGCGGGAGCGCTGTTCGTGTACCGTATAAGAGAGATTTAATAACCACCATTGCCAGGTTTTCAAGTTTAACGTATCGTAAACAGTTTTGGGAAAATGAAAAGAATTCTTCTTGACAATCAGGAAATCGAGAAAATTCTTTAAAGGAAAACTTGACAATTTTATTTATATCTACACTTACGTCGTATAGTTGCATTTTGATGCGAAGATTGAATACCCATCTCTTCTAAATAAGTTTCGATTTTCGTTCGATTTTAATCATTAATTCACACATACACACACATACTCTTAAAAATGAAAGAAGGTAGGATGGCGTTGTAAACAAAGAACTTTTTTCTTTGATATTTCGAAACGAATTAGAGGAAAAAATGTTCTCACACTTAAACCTTATTCAACAAGTTCTGTGTCCGTAAATTCAACCCCAAATTTAGCGCTATTAAAAAATATATTAGAGGTATCCGTACGTAATCAATTATTTTGAAATCTAATATAAATTTTATACGAAAATCCAGCTTTAACTTGACTACTACCTATCTTTCGTGCAAACTTTCTATCACCCTCTTCTAGCACTACATGGTTCATCAAGTACACCGTGACTCTAGGCGCTGCCTTGATGAGCTAGCCTTAGTGGTTGATACAACAATTTGATTTACAGAAAGCCATTGCCTGGATTGCTTTATATTATCATAAAAAATCTATTTTTTAGTTCCAACGTTGTTTTGGGCAACAAGTGGATGTCTACGAAATCTGTATTCCTTTGCATTCCGTGCAGGTTTCTGTGTTATAGTTGACCTTGTAGATTCAAGGCTTCTCGAGGAGTCTTGTTTACTCAATTTTCAATCACCTTCCACTAGGCCATTTAACAAGCCTCCCCTTCGAGACCTGCCAGACATATGATAATAACCTGCGAGAAAAATCCTGAATGGCACCAGTGGCACCAGTTGATCGACAATGCGTTTCTCTGGTTATACTGAGAAGGAATGCAATCACGGGCACGATCCTCGGAAAGCACGGAAACTGTCATTTTGTGATGGGGTTGTAAAAAAAATTTCTAGTTTTTAGGAATATTCTGAACACAGGCTGCTTTGCTGAAAATAAGACGTGCTTCTCTGCAAGGATCGGTAGAGATCCAAAGGCAACACAAATTCCTTGCAAATAAATAATTGACGATGAAAGGAGAAGATCAATCTACTATTAAATCGTGTGAAGTATCAATTTGATAATGTTGTGATAATGTCGCCATTCACGTTAAATTCAAACATTTTTTTATATCATTTTCAGTTGAATCTAAATTTAACACAAGCAAAAATATTTGATAAGCTTTGCTGGTATTAATTTTGAAACAACACTTAATTAATAGATACGAATATTTTACACACACATACGTTTCTCTCGGAAACACATAACAAATCGCATCAAAGTTTGCCTGTGTTTGACTTAGCATTAAAAATGCTTGCGTATAGATCACGTGCAAACTTGAGCTGTAACACGAACGCACGCAACAATTCACCTCAATTTAAGTAACCCGAACAGTCTCGCTACATAATGATGGTTTGCAATTACTAAAGCGATTTTAACTCCTGTATACCGAAAGTAAATCAGTTGATGTCGGGTTTTATTTTTTATCTTTGCAAGAAAATTATTCTTTATTACTTATCTACTCTAGCAATAATAACAAAGTAATTGCGGGCAAGCAAAGAAGTATTCAGTTTTTAATGTTTACTATCGATCGCTGAACTATGCGAGTATGGAAAAATGTTTGCAAGACTTGGAAGGGAACTTAAAGGATCTTATAAAGTGTATACTCTCTTGGATCCTATCAAATTCTAAAACGATTTCAGCATGTCTGTAATCTTTATTCGTCCATGGGTAACTGGGTACTTCTAGTCGCAAGCATTGACAAAAAGCATCGGAAGCTTTTAGACGCAGCTTGATATAAAAGATGAAATAAATCGGATTTTGGGCACGATCACAATACAACATGACGAACACGGAGTGCTAAGGATTTTAATGATGGGGGGCATGCACGGCCTGCGTGATTCTTATGCGAGAATATATCTATCTTACTTGTTTTTATTAACTGTAAATATGTATGCTTAAAAACGAAAAAGAAGACAAACGACAGTGGATGATAAGAAAAAATGTAGGCAAAATTAATGAACAGGTCTACAAATTACTTCACGTGAAAATGATAGGAATAGTCGACACCTATGTCCCGGTACACTCTTTCGTGTAAAAAAAAATAAAATGGAAAAAGCCTTCTCTAGGCGTAGTTAGCCGTGCAGGCCGTTGCGATCAGTTCGCGAGATTATTTTCGTGCTGTGATCTTTGCCTTTTCCCATTTAAGCCGCAATTAAAACTCTATCTATCATTTTAGAATGTTTTGTTTAGTAAAAAAGATGAAATTACTAAGCCTTATAAAGAGATATCTAAGATTTATGAATTTTTTTCTTTTTATTTTTTACCACGCATGCAGTTCAGGAATAAAAATGAACTTACTCCTGCATGTGTGATGGCCCTTCAATCTTCTTGTTTCATTCAAAAGAGATATAGCCAAAGGGTCTACGTGATTACTCAGCGCGGCAAGACATTTTGAATAAATTGCGTTGAATTCGATTTTTAACATCCAGTGGGAAGTCCAAGTCACCGGGAATAGTTTTGCCACCAACGAACCACGGCGCATTAACAATAAAGCGAAGGGTCAGACCAACATTTTTAGAGTATTCTAACATGAGTTACTAATGTGGAAATATAGTCTAACAAGTCAAACATGAGCTCGAAAAAAGAAAAGTTTACATGGCGATTATAAGTTAACACGGCTATCGCGGTATATTGTGAGAAAGGTTCTCCATCAGGGATTCATGCAACATTGTTTTCATTTTTCCGCAATATCGAACTTAGTCACCGTTGACAAACTGTTCTAACTTGCAAGCTAACTGTCAGAATGTCATGACCGTTGCCATACATTTGTCAAACCGGAGACTTATTAAGGGATCTGACATGTCTATTGTAGTCTAGTAATAGTCTAATCCGCGAACTTTGTTCACAAAGATCACAAACTTTCCTAGTCGAAAAGAGGCCGAAGAAATTAAATGTCCCGCCCAATCAAAGTAAAAATCTTCTAAATTATCGTAAATTGGTCGTTCAAAATAGGATCAAGGCAAAAAAAAAACTTTCTCTCGCTTGCAGAAAGCGCCAGTACACGGATGCTCCTGATTCATTCAGGCATTTTGATTCGCAACAAATCGATTACACAACGTCTTATTCGATGACTAAATAAATTAAAAAACGTTTAAATAATTTAAGCAAATAGTTTGTCATTTTGCAACGTACGCAGTTAAGTTTCTTTTGTTCTCCACTGCCCAAAAGCAATGTAGGTCAGTATCCTATTTAACTGTACTATTTTTGGAAACGAATCATTATCATTATACTCATCTATTGTGCTCTAATTGGAAAAAGATTGACGTTTAGGCGTAATGAGTGCCATCACATTGAAAGCTAAACTGCACAAAAATAGAGGACCATTCCATCAACACTGCATAGATATCCTGTAAATTAAATCCTTTAACACATTTATACACTTGGGAAACTGTAAAATTTAGTCATATCATCAAAGTTTGTCTATTGTATGTAAAAATGGCAGTATTTTAAAACGTGCAGAGAGCCAAAGAGCGCGTCTACAAACAGATTAGTAATAATGGTACGGGGAAATTTTGTCCATATGCGACAGTAGTGGAGAGAAGTTCACGTAAATGAGTTCTCTTCGCTGTTCGCAGCTCTTAAGACCACAGAAATAGTCAATGACAAGCAATTAAAACTGGTACAAGATAATCAAATGAGATTGACACGTCTTCGGTAGCTTTTATAGTCCCCCTATAACGTGTGCTCATATAAAATGTATTCGCATATAAGGGAAACGGCGGAAAAATTGTGATCGCTTTCGTATAGCAAGCTAAAAGAGGCTCGCATAACACCGTAAAAGAATGGGGCAGATAATGCAAAAATTCATATAACGGTTAACTCCCACAAGCAGAAAAAGGGTGTTCACTGTTCAATAGCCATAAAAACCATCGGTTGTATAAACTATTAATAAATCACGAGCTTTTAATCTACAAATTATTTCTGATATTTCGTACCACACCCAAAAGTGATTATTAATTTCCACCTGGTATCCCCAGGGCAGGCACTCGGGTCCAAATCTCATCATGCTATATATAAATGGTCTTCCGCTGGTGACCAAGCAATCTTGGACTCTCAAGCACGCCGATGACGTAAAGCTATGCTTTCTATTTTTTATTCGTAGTGAAGTTGGACGGAATTAATGACGTGTCCCTGAACTTTAGCAAACGCAAGGTGATATCCTTTAGCAGAAGCTTAGCGATATCTATTGGTCACTGCATTAATGGCTTAAATCTGGAGTCTGTATCGCTTCGTTGTACTCTGGGGGCCATCCTCGGCAGTAAATTGACATTTAATCTTCAGGTGTAATCGGTATTTAATAAGACTAGATCGGTTCTTAACTTAATGGAAAGGTGGGCTAACGAGTTTTGAAGATACTTATGTCACAAAACACTTATATGTAGCTGAGTAGGTTTACTGTCGAGTATGCCTTAGTTGTTTGATTATCGGGCTGCAATCCGCCTAAAGGTAATTTCTCCTATATCGCCCGAAAGATTGCAAAAGATCCTGTAAATTGCAACTTTAATAAAACTTTTTTTTTTTTTTAAATGCGAAAAAATCTAATAAATTTTTTTAATCTTCCATTTGCAGTGAAAAAGCTTTAAATGTCATATTTCATATACGAAGAGTAAAACATGTGTGTTTAAGAAACAAAAAAGATAGACAAGAAAATAAAATAAATGAAAAGTCGAGTGAAAATCGGAATAAAAGATATCAAAAACATGGATATATATGCAAGTTAGAAAGTGAATTTGCAAATATTAGTGGAAAATAAAACATACTGCCTGCTAGCGTTTGATTCACATCCTTGCTTACATTCGCACTTGCTCATATAACTGAATTGCAAAAAGAAGGTAAGCAGTGCAGCAGAAAGAGAATTCAATTGTATTCGAATTTCGTGTTAAAATTAAGTATTTTAAGCATCGTAAGCAGTTGCCAGGCGTCCCCTTAAATTCAATGATACTAAAATTAAAGTACTTGTCGTCGTCGTCAACGTCAGCAATAACAAAAACAGCAACAAAGGCAACAAAAACAATAACAACAGCAGCCATGACAATAGGAAAATCTGTAACAACTATAATAACAACACCAATAGTAACAGCAACTATAGTAACACCATCATCATTATTATCGTCAACGTCATCGTCATCGTCATCGTCATCATTATCATCGTCATTATCAGCATTATTGTCGACATCTGCATGTCGAACAAAAAAAAAGCAGAAAGGAATACTGCAATGCAAACGCCCTCAAAAGCGAAATCAAAACTCTGAACAATGGCAACATCAGGTAAAACTACATCAGCAACAACAGCACGAACAACAACAACAACAGCATTATCATCATCATCATCATTATCAGCATCAACAAAGGCAACAAAAGCAACAAAAACAACACGGTTCTTCGTTGTTTGTGTCAGTTGTCATGTTGACACTTTTTATAGTATCCATTGAAGGGATTACAGAAGAATTGTCACCAGGTGAGTACATTTGTATACCTCACTTTATATGTAGAGATGTGTGTGTGTGTTTGTGTGTGTCTGTGTTTGTGTATGTGTGTGTATTTGTGTGTGTAACTATAGAGAACAAAAGACAACAAAACTAAAGAATGGACTCAACAATAAGTTTCACTAACAAAAATTTCAATTTCAATTACAAGACTATGTGAGTACACAAGTGCTTACATGTATGAACACCGATATGTACATATGTAAGTAAATGTATGTTATGCAGCTGCATTAGAAATGAGGCGAAGAAGAACAACTAAAAAAATTGAAAAAAAAAAAAAGTTTACGTTACTCCCACATCACATCACATCACATCACATCATAGTGGTTAGTGTCAAGCGGAAAAAGCAAAAGTTATTGAAAGAGAGACAAAAAATTTTGCAAACAGCCAATAACGAATTATGTTTGCTCTTCATCATTTGAGTCTGCTTTTAGGGTATTATTGAAAAGTATATATATATATATAT